CTCAGATTCTCGCAAAGGTATATTCATATCATTTGTATCCCTTGAAGTTAGATTTCATATGGAACTTGAATCGTGTACATTGGATGTTTCTACAAAGAGATATGCTTGAACGATTGACAGAAGGTCATCCTGATCGCCGTTTTCAAGCTCTATTCGTCTTCTTTTGATCCCGTAGCCAATCCTAGAGCTCTTTTGTCACCAAATCTTCATCGTGAACCTCCCGGTGACCTCCAAATCTCTCAATCCACTCTCGAATGCATCTCGAATCATCCCGATTGCTCCTCAAGCGCCGGTGCCGAACTCTAAATTCCTGATTTTGACTCCAAATGACACAAAACTCGAACCAACGCCTGGTAAACATAACTTGAGCTAAAATTGAGACTTGCAACACCTTAAAGCTAGGAAAACCATCAAAATCCAATCCCAACACGCATCAAATGCGTGTCTAAATACGGACTTATCAGTTGTGTTTATAAATATTAAAATTACAACATTTTTTGAGAATATATACGTATATTATCATCTAGTCACTGTTCATTCATGGCATTCAAGCATTTCACATTATCAAAATAGTTGGAAATAAATTGATATTTTATCTCATATACACTAGTGCATCTCGAAATATAAATATAGTCAATAAGTCCTTAATTTAACATAAGAAACAAGTCAAACATTCACAGTTTTGAATTTAAAAGTGTAAACATTCAAAGTTCTTGGATAAATGAGATAGAAAACAATACCTTCATATAAAAACTAAAAGTTCCAATACTAATTTTTCACTAAAGCATCTTGGATAATGCAAAATTCATTTTTAGTTTTTTTCATTTTTTAAGAATTTTATTAAGTAAATTTTGCGTGTTTTTTTATTAAAAAAAAAAAGTTGAAACGTGTGTATGTCAGGATACATGTATCCGAAATTTAAAAAAAAAAGTTGGAAACTTTTATAAATTGCATATACGGCCCGAGAACGTACGCTATATGTCAATACGGTACCCTAGTGAAGTATCCTAAAGTATTTGATGCGGGAACGTTTCCAATATGCCAATACGGTACCCTAATGAAGTATTTGTGCTTCATAGGTCACTAAAGATCGCGATGGTGTGTTTTTCCTTTATGGATATGGCATAATAGGTATAGTGTACATATGGAGGGGAACAACTCGTTCTCGGTTCGCCATTCTTATTAATGTCAATGAAGACTCCACCTGCAATATAAAACATCGAAGTCATCTAGTTGAGCTAATGATCAAAACGGAGTTTATGGTATGAGATTAAGCTCCGATGATACACAAACATTGCTTTTGAATTGTTAATATGACATTGAAAAAATTGTTAGATCTATATAGTCTTTAGAATTTTTATAAATTTATATATTCAATATTGATGTCGTATGAAATATCACAAAAAGTTATAAAATTTGATACATTTAAAAAAAATTGGAGTAAGAATATGAAAGTTATAACAATTTAAAGAAAAAAGAATTTCTTTACATGGGTCCCACCAGCTCTCTTCCGACATGTGTCTCCAAGCTAGCTTGTTCGCAGTTCCGCTTTATTTTTTAAGAGATCAGGGTCGCTAATTCGTTTGGCGGCTTCTCTAACCAAAGTTTGTCCCAACAGTATTCTGATAAATAATTTTAGCTCAACCCTAATTTTGTAAATACTTTTTATTTAATATTATTTTGGGAAAAACTCCGAACACATACATATATCTAATTAAGGTATAATCATTTTAATATATCTAATTTCATATACATAAATAATTTCTTGGTAAATACTTTTAACTCGACTCTAATTTCTTAAATATTTTTTTATGTAGCATTATTTTGGGGAAAAAATCATGTGTTCGCCCCCCTTAATTAATTTTTAATTTTCAAAACTAATATATAGTCTTACATAATATAATACTTAATAGGAGATTTAAAAAAGAATAAAACATCTAAAATAATATATCTTTACTTAAACAAACAAACAACAGAACAACTCATTGTTTAAGATGTAGAATACTTATTATATAAAAATTCCTAGTTTTGTAATGTTTAATTATCTTTATTAGCTAATTAGTACTCGATTTTGTAAAATATCAAACGATATTAAATACTACACACTAGTTAAACAATTTTTATATCACGTGACATTAAATTACAGGGGGGAATAATAAAAATACCTCAAACCTTGAAGGGGTGTGAGATAAACACCTCAAACTTTCACATGTAATTTAAATATCCCAAACCTTATATAAAAAGTTATTTTTGCACCATTGTCATGTATTATTTCTTTCAAAAATGTAAATTTATTTGGTTAATTGCATAATTTAAAATAGCAAATTAAAAGTGTTGCAATTGTATAGATTGGGGGTAATATTATTTATTTCGCAATGGAAGTTTAAAATGTTAATAGTGTCTTCATGAAAACTAAAATATTTTAAATTATGCAATTAACCCCATAAAGTTACTTTTTTGAAAGAAATAATACATGACAATGGTGCGAAAATAACTTTTTATATAAAGTTTGGAGTATTTAAATTACTTATGCAAGTTTGGGGTGTTTACCTCACACCCCTTCAAAGTTGGGCGTATTTTAATTATTTTTCCCTAAATTACACAATTCATCTACTTTTAACTTTTTAAAACAATGTATTGCATAGATAATAAACTTTAACTTATTTTAGCATTAATACAAATATAATATTCACCATCTACGTGTATTAACAACAACAACAACATCCAAGCCTTAATCCCAAAAGATTATGGGGTTGGCTAGCATGAATCGAACCATGATATCAGTGGAAAAAAGAGAAGACAAACAAGAAGAAAAAAAAGAAGAAGAAAAAGAAGTAAGATAAAATGGATAAGATAAAAATAAATACTCTCTCCGTCCCATTTATATTGTCGTGTTTTACCTTTTCGGGAAGTCCCACTTAAATTGTCTCATACCATATTTGGCAAAGTTTGTGTGGCTCTAAATCATTCTTACTTTATCAATTAATATCAACCACACAAACCTACTTTTCTTAATAACCGTGTCACCCTCTTCCGGGACAATGTAAATGGGACGGAGGTAGTATAAGATAACAATAATATAAGAACATAAGAAAGATAAAAGTCAAAAAGATAAGAGTAGTAAAAAGTTAAAAGATAAAAACAACATAAGAATATAAAAAGATAAAGAAGATAAACGATAAAAGAAAACGATGGATAAAAGATAGAAAGGAGATCAATCATCCACATGAATGTGCGTCATCCACTTTGCTCTCTTCAAAGTCATACTCTTGTCCACTTTGCGCCTTCCACGCGCATATGAGTTATAATTTCTCTCATCCAAGTCTATTTGGGTCTTTCCCTCCCTCTTCTCACTGCCTCTTCTCCTCACCTCTCAAGTCGTCTAACAGGTGCATCACTCGGTTTTCTACACACATGACCAAACCACCGCAAACGAGACTCTTGCATCTTATCTTCTATAGGTGTTACTCCCAACTTTTGCCTGATTATCTCATTTCTCAAGCGGTCTTTTTTGGTATATCCACACACCACACATCCAACGCATCATACATTTTTTTTGCCACACTCATCTTCTGAATGTGATATTGTTTCACCGTCCAACACTCTACGTCATACATTAATGCAAGTTTAACTGTTGTTCAATAAAATTTACCTTTCAGTCTAGTCGGCATACCTGGATCACTTAGAAATCCTGATGCACTCTTCCATTTCATCCACCCAGCACGGATTCTATGGGATACATCTTCATCTAATTCACCATCCTTCTGCACTATGGAGCTCAAGTAACAAAACATATCACACAACGATATCTCCGTACCATCAAGAGTAATCTCACTGCTGCTGCTACTTCTACCTCCACCAAACTTGCACTTCACATACTCTATCTTGCTTAGGCACAGTCTGAAACTCTTGGTATACAATGTTTGTCGTCATACTTCCAAGTTTGCTTTAAAAAATCTCGTGACGCATGAGCACCCTCCTTGGAAGACAAAAATTACAATTCAAAAACTAATTCTATATTTCGATAAGATTCATGTGGTTAAACAAGGCAAAAGTTATTTAAAAAGTATCGATCGATGACTTGATGTGTACCTTTAAAACTCTTTGTCTTCAAATAATTTGATAAATGTTATATATCCTTTTTATTTTTAAAATAATTTATCATTGATAATTTATCATTGATTTACCATTTCTTAAGCTTTAATGAATCAATACATTTTTTAATTATTGTCCTAAATAGGACTAAAGTTTCCCTAAAAGCACAAATAGGACTACTACTTTTAAATACTCAAATAACACTAAATAGTGATTTTCTACCCTAAATACCCCTAAGGGTATTTATTCATAATGAAATGTTAAAATTCAGAATAAAATCATAAAACATAATAAAAAAACGTAAAACTTAATAAAAAATCATCAAAAATAATAAAAAATTAATAAAAATATTTATAAAATAAAAATTTTAAAAATGAATTTTTAAAAAAACAAATTAATAAAAACAGTTAAAAACCCATAAAAAATGGATACCATTCTCACCACCTCCCAGCACCTCCGATCAGTGAAAATGTTGCCACTTTTAAAAAAATGCTTTTTTTTTAAATGCCAAGATAAAGGCATTATTATTCTTCATAATAATAAACTAGAATACTGGGACATCTTTGTAATTTTAATATTCTTTTTTATTATAAATACATCATCAGGACACCCTTTTAAGGTGAGCCATTATTCCACAATTATTATTTTGCATATGGTATCAGTCGCTAGGTAAACCCAGGGGCGGAGCTAGAGCACTAGGCCGGACTGGGCCGATACAAAGAATATTTTTTGAAAATTTTTTACACGGAATTTTTCACATTAAAATACAGGCATTTTTAAAATTTGGGCTGGGCCAGGGCCAGGGATGGCCCTCCCCTAGCTCCGCCCATGGGTAAACCTATTCTTTTTTTCGTCGACTATGGTGCATCCCACTTCCACCATTTCTTCCTCATCTACCGCCGGCTAGTACTACAAGCGCCACCACTGGAATCTCTTCCTCTGTTGCTGCATGTTCATCTTCTTTGGTGGTCTCCACAACCACTAGTGCGGCACCCTACATCGCGCTGACATCCATGTCACAATTCTCCAGTTTGGACGTGTCTTCTCAAATGGTTCACAGGTTTGGTTCCCAACAAGATCCTTCCGTCTCCATACCAAAATTTCATTGAATCTTCCATCATTATGGTGTTATTAAAAATATTGGCAGATTTCCTCCGGTGATAAGAGCCGGTGGTGTTGGGGATGGTAACGGCGGCGGTATTTTTCTTTTTACGTTCTTAAATTTTTCTACTTTTTGAATTTTTTACAAATTTTTTAGAATTTTATTTTATTATTTTTTTCATTATTGTTTAAGTTTTTTTATTTTATTATTAATTAAAACATTTCAAAAACTATAAGAGGATATTTGTCCAAACACACATAAATAGACAAATAGTCCTACTGGGGTATTTAAAAAATGCGGTCCTATTTGTGCAATTTGACCATTTTTTAGTCCTATTTAGGTAATTCACTCTACTTTTTTCTAGAGCACTTCAATTATAAAATCAAAGTTATTTTTTCATTGTCCAAACTTAGAATGTAAAAGATTTAAATGTCACTGTTTATGTTTTAATGGAACTTTTTGAATAAAAAATAGGCGCAAAGACCCAAACTAGCCAAAAATTCACCGCGAAAAATTCACCGCGAAAAAGATTCAAACTCCTACGGCCTACACTAACATAAAAAGTTGCCCCCTTTACTCAAAAAGTCGAAACCCTGAATCCGTCTCGAGTTAGCCTAGTATTTATTAGCATTATTTTGGACTTGTGTTCTCACAGATCTAGTATTGTAGCAAAGTTCATCCTCTGGGATCAAAGTTGTGAGATGTCTCCATTCCTTCCAAGAAGCACGCTACAAATTAAGCTGCATTCCATGCACCATGCTCCGATCCATCTACAGCCAGTACTACTCAAACTTCTCTTCCGGCCAACAACTTGCATTGCTGAACTCATTTACTCATCTCTCTGACATTCAAATTCTCTGGTGGCAGCCTCACCATGAATATCCAACCCATGAAAGTCTTAGTGATTTTGGCTACTTTAAAAAGCCATCATCATCTGGTGGCAGCCTCACCATGAATATTGAAATTAGGCATTGGAACATGTATACATATAAAACTGCAGTCAACTTCAAAAAATGATTTGAATGCCTTCCCGATCGAATTTTGAGCTGAAATTTAGTATGGACAAACTAGACTTGATGAGGAACATGCTCAAAAAATTTCATCAAAAAATTCCACCGGGAAGGTGCCCAAACGGGCTCGGCCGGACGGAGCAGCCCGTCAGGCCGGCCTGACATGAAGTTTCCTCTATATGTATATCAATATATGCGTATATGTATACTATAATACTTGTACACTGCGCATTAATTTATTAATTTATAGACTATTAGTTTAAAAATAACCTATAAAACAGTTAATTTATTACGAAGTATTTATTACGTAGTATATGCTATATAATAAAGTGCTGGACTGGCGAATGGTGATATACTGATATGCTCGTATTAGTTTAATAATGAACTATTAAACCATTAATTTATTATATACGGAGTATATAATTATATATAAGTACATAGTTATATATATAATATATTATACATAAGTTTTGGTTCAAATAAGAACACGATCTTATGAGAGAAATTAGAACGAATCTGGACTGTTAGATTTGCTTCAAGTGAAATTCAGTGTGCATTAGATAAAACTGTAATGTGCATTAGGTGAAATTGAAATGTGCATCACAAAGGGTACGATAGAGTGGCATTATGTGCAGTTGAATTGTGCATTACGTGAAATTGAAATGTGCACTAGGTGAAGCTGAAATGTGCAGAATAAAAAGTACAATGTGATGTGATTTTTGCACTTTGTTTTCGCACATATCAGTTTAATCTAATGCACACTTGAGTTTAAATTTTTATTTTGCACATTTCAATATCATTTAATGCACATTTCAGTTTCACCAAATGCACAATTTGGTTCCACATAATACAATCCAACGGTCCAGATTCGTTCTCATTTTTCTCCTAAGATCTGTTCTTACCGGAACCGCTCCCATTATACATATATAGGCGACTAGTCGCCTAATTGTTGCGGGCGCCTTATCGCCTAGGGGATATGGCGGTCGGCTGGCGCCGCGACTCGACTTACCGCCGTGACAAGTATGGTAGCTCATTACACATGGCACACCTTATGCCTACATGGAGTGAAAGGCTCAAAGTAAAAGCTTAAAATGCAGAATTTAGGATGCGCGTGATAACATAGGCAACAAAAGTAACTTTGGTGCTTACCTCACAAGTAACAAAAGTAACTTTGGTGCTTACCTCACAAGTAACGGCGCAGCAATTGAAATGCCCCAGCCACAAGCTTAGGACCTAGTTTCCAACTGATAAGTTTAATCGAATTTGATGAAAATGCAATCTCTGAATTTCATGTAACTTGAACCAGTAAACCCAAAAAATAGCCAAAACATTTTTCATAAAATAGTTGAAGCTATTCTAAGCTACATTATTTAAACCTACAACTCACATTGTCAACTTTCACAATTTCCTTCGATGCGGCTTGTGCACCATTTAGATAACCAAACCAGACAAGCCCAGAAAGTCCACAAGTTATGCACCATTTAGGTGTTTTAGCAAAATGAAAATTTTGTGAAGATAGGACAACTGAGTGTTTTAGCTGACGCTGTTTAGGAGTGTGTAAGATAACCTAATTGAAACTGCATTACTAAGGCTTTTTGTATAATACGTTGACTAATTTTTTTAATTATTCAGAAAGCAGAATATGCTTAACACTGTGGACACATTAATGACACATACATCTCAGTGCTTGGCAAATACCTTCGATAGCAACAGATTAAAAATGCCTCATCTAGATGTTGCAGTAAGCCATTAACCACATCCAAAATCCAAAAGACATTTAGCCGTTGGCTAGAAGAGCCTAGACGAAGAAAATAACCAATTTTAGTCAGAGCTGCCCTTTTTAATGCAAGCTTTATTATAACATCCCCACTCCATACACAAATAAGAGAATATATATAAAAGCAGCATACAGCTTGAAACTTTTTCAGGTTCTAGCATTTTGACTCCTCAAACTGTACAACAGAAGAGCAAAGATGATCTTTTGTAATCCTTTTGTTTACATTGGAGAGAAGTTCGTACTTGTGGCCATCATAACATGCAGTCATGAAGGCTTTAAGAGTTATTTGATCGACAGTTTGGCATATATTTAACAATTTGTGGAAAAACAATGAAGCCATGTCAGCTTTCTTTTCACTGCACAACTTTCGGATCAATGTATTGATCGTACGAGTCCATAATTTTTTTTCTAATCCATCTAAGAGGATCATTGCAGTGGAAGGGTCTTCCTTCTTGCAAAACTCATACACTATTGTTAACCGTGTGACTTCACATGGGGTAATTCCTTTATCCATCATTGAATCATACTGGTTTCTGGCCTCAAACAACATTGACTCCTTGCATAGACCACTAATCAGAGCACCATAAGTAACGCAATCAGGTGCACAACCATATCCTCCCATGATATCGAATAACTTAATAGCTGAACTGATTTTTCCGTCTCCACAGTATCCGGATATCAATGATGTGAAGGTTTCCTTGGTTGGAACCAAACCTAATCTAACTGCATCATCAAAAAGTTTTTCACTTTCTTTCATCCTCTTTTGCCTGCATTGGGCTGCAATTAATGTGGTGTATGTATGCATGTCAGGGCTGATACCACGTTTGACCATCTTACACCAAAATGCAAAGGCTAGCCTACTGTCAGTGCCTTTACAACTGTCTGATATGAGAATGGTATATGTCACTAAGTCTGCAGAGAGTCCAGCTCTGAATGCTTTCTTCAGCAATTTATATGCTTCTTGAACTTCTCCCTTCTTCATGAGTCCATTAATGACAGAATTGTATGTAGTAATACCAAGTGACAATCCATCACTCTTCATTACTTCCATCAACTCATAAGCACGACTGAACTTGCCTACTTTGCAATACCCATCAATGAGTGAAGTAAAAGTTAGAGCATTTGGGGCCAACCCTTGCTCCTGCATCCTAGTAAGAAGCATCTCTGCGCGATTCAATTTTTCCTCCTTGCAATATCCAGTGATCATCACAGTATATGTATGCACGTTTGGCTTGTAAGCCTCACTCCTCACTAGTTTCAAGAAAAGCCTAAATGCCTTTTCGGTCCAGCCCTTCTTACACAGGCCATGAATTAATGATGTATGGGTAAACACATTGGGTTTCCAACCTTTTGCAACCATTTCCTCTAACAACTCAAATGCTTGTCTAACACTGCCTCTCTTAGAAAGCCCATTTATCAAACAAGTAAAATTTATCAAGTTTGGAATCAAGCCCAGTACAGTTAACCTATTGAAGATCCAAAACGCCCTATTCACAAATCCCTTTTGGCAAAGCACGCTCACAATTAATGTACAGGTTGCATTGTCCACGATAAAACCCCTATCCAGCAATGCAATCATCCATCTATCTGCATCTGCGGCTCTCCCTAATTTACAGTAAGCAACTACCATCGACTTAAAACAAAAAGAATCTGGACAAAGGCCTCTTTCACACATTTCCTCAAACACATTCTCAGCAATCTCTATACACCCCACTTGAGCAGCAACACTAATAATGCAGTTTAAAGTCCTCGCAGTAAAAACCAATCCTTGGTTACACATTTCAAAAACCATATCTACAGCTTCCTTCAACATCCCAATCTCACCAAAATTCTTGACCATGCAATGCATGATTTCATGGGCTTTCTCAAAATTTCCATTTTTCATCAAGCACATTGATGAAACAATGTAAAGCCTTATAAAGGTCCGGAATTTTGGATATTCAATTGCACAATAAAAGAAACTCAAGGCGGCCACGGAGCCTGCCTCATCTGCCAGAGAAGCCACAACAGTAATGCATTGTTCTGGAGTCAATATTTCGATATCGATAGGCAATCTCAGTTTTTGATGTGATGATTTGAAGTGGTTATGTTCTTGATTGTTATAAGACCAGTATACCAAAGAACAAACTCTTTGGATGATGGAACTGCAGTGTGAAGAGGGCAAAGAAGTATTGGGAATTGAATGAGGATCAGTTTGGGTGTGAAAGCATATGAGCTTTTGTAGGGTGAGGAAGATGCCATCAATGAGTGCGGAGTTAGAAACTCTGAGCTGCTGCACAGGCCCAGCCCTGAGATATTGGAGGACCTGTTCAAAACTAAATGTGAGGCGCTAAAATATAAAGAAAATTCGAGTATTGGACGCCAACAAGTTAACTATTAAACGAAGAAAATATATGGAGCACACCAACGTGCTCCGTAGTAAGCACTTTAGCGTGATGAATGGCCAGAATTCTCTAAATATTTCAGATGAATGAATTCCGGTCATTAATCACGCTGATGTGCTCTGTAGTAAGTATGTTAGCATGTTCCATATACTTTCTACTAATAAACTTACATAACACATTTGGTGAGAATAATAAACTTATTGAATATAAAATGCAATGAAAAACTTATTTTGATTCTTAACATAAATATATCATTAGGATACACACAAAATTTGCAAAATTCTTTTAAAAAATCGGGACAACTAACAATGTCTCAAATTCTAGAATACAAGTATGTCTGATTACCGAAATAAAGAACATACAGAGTATATAAGAAGTTAAAAACTATGCTCTAGACCAATCTCCAATATTCTAAGCTAACAGCCCTATTAGCTAGGATTTCAACTATCAACATTCAGTAAAAGTATAAAGAGCATACAAGTATTTGCAATACTACGATTAGGACTATCATTCCGATTAAAAATCCAACTTAGATCATTAGTTTATTTGTAAAAGATTAACAGATACAAAATTAATAACTCGTATATAACAAATCAACAATTAACAAAACTTTCGATTTTATAAAACTAAATGAAATATTCATATTTTAAAATATAAATTATTAAATCAGATTAATTGGATAATAAAAAGATCAAAAACTTTGTATCAGATATAGGGGGTGTTTGGAACTGCTTCAGCTTCTTTTTTAAAGCAGAAGCAGAATTAGAATCAGTTTTTAGAAGCTGGTCTACTCCATCTTCTAAAAAAACTAATTCTAGGAGTAATTTAGAGCACCAGAAGTACTTCTGCACTTTCACCCAAATACTCCAACTTCTGCTTCTGCTGCCTGAAGGAGCGGAAGCAGTTTTTAAGAATCAGATCCAAACACCCCCATGATATTCAATATTAGAATAATAAGATTATCTAAGGTTCAAGAAAGGACTAACCATTCTTGTTGTAACGGTGGAACCTAATAGTGAAGTCTTGGTTCATGATCTCTCGGATCTAAAGAGTGATTGCCTTTCGGAGTCTAGCGGAGACTGCAACAATCATAGACTCTCAGGCGACCAGTCTCTTGCACACCATGAGCTAGTGATGAGAAGCCAAGATATATGGAAGTTGAAGCGATAAGCGGATCGATTAAGGAAGCAATTCTGTGTTTCGAAGAGGCGCAAACCAAAACTTAATAAATAAATATATGACTCAGTATCCCTCCTAATTGGTATTGAGGGTGTTAAAGAATGAGGCTCCTCTTCAAATTGGGGCCGTGTTCACCCACACCTCATGCACAGGTCCAGGGCCGAGCCTGCTGCTGCAGGGGAGATTGAAGACGATAGAATGCAACAAAATGAGGAGCACATGAAAATGCTTTGGAATGATGATGCCAGCCAGTAAATGCGCTCATGAAACAAAATAAGTAAATGCTTTGAAGTCCTAGTGGTCCTAGTGGCAGATAATTTATCATGGGCTTAATCCTAAAAAATTAAAAACCTTTTATGTCTAAAGTTCTAAACTAACATGCATAGTAATAATATTTCAATACATTTATAATAAATATGTTAAATTAAACATAGTAGAATCACGGTTTTAAAATGAAATAAAAAATAAAATATCACTTAATACATTTCTGGCCGAGCACTGTAAAACGAAATCATCTAGTATAGCTTCATAATCAAGGTTTACGAACATATTATGCTCAATGCTTAATATTGCAAATCCATTAAGCCTTTCTTGAGACATTAATAACCGCATATAATTTTTGAAAAACTTCTTTAGCAAATTATAATACCAACACAAACTCCAAATTTAATTTAATTGCATAACAGAAAAATCACCAATCACTTAAAATTTAAAAAAACAACAAATATGAAGTTATGAACTAGTGGATTTAAAAAAGAAAAACTATGAACTAATCAACTAAAGTCTATAGGCAACATCAACAATCAAATATTTATCAACCTTCAACAGCCAACTAACTAACTAATTATTTATCAAATATTCATTTATAAACATCGAACAACTAGGAGTTACAGAACTAATTAATGAACTCATCAAATAATCTATAAAAGTCTAAAAGAGTTAAGCCGTTAAGGAATATGGAGGTCGGACGAGTACCTCAAGCGTGAAGCCTTAAAGTGAGAACTGAGAAGGGACGATTAGCCGAAGCGCTGAACCGCAGTAGGCAGAGCGGGGCGCACCAGAAGGCTGATGAAGTGAGGAGTGACCGAGTGAGGACTGCTGTACCGCCAGTACGGCAGCCAAGCAGGGGCAGGGCGAGCTGAGGGAGGCGGCCAAGCGTCGTAGATAGGGCGGTCGGCGAGTCAGCCACTTGGCAGTTGGCACTTGGGAGTTAGCGTTCCGGTCGTCAATTATGCTCTGCTTGGACAACTATTCAATATGAGTTCTGCCTGGAGGTCTTATGAAAGTTCTTATTTTTAATGCAGCGTTAAATGGACTAGTCATTGATGTCCAACGTTAAATGCAGCGTTAAATGGACAGTTCATGGACGATTCAATGCTCAACGGACTAGTCATTGATGTCCAACGTTCAGGTCCATTAATTCACCATTTACACACAACAAATCCTCATATATAATGGCTGATAGGTGGTTTGCAACAACACACAGTTCATACACGCAAACACACATTCCTCACGTATTTAAGAAGTGTTAGTAATGGTTAGGAAGTGTTAATAATAACCTTCCCAACACCTCAATTGTCCATTTTTTAACACCCCGATTTGGAGTGTTTTGAGGTGTTGGACAATTATTACCCTTCTCATTTACCCGAAAAACATAAAATGCTTCTACATTTCACTTCGAATGTCTTTCCCACGGGTCTGATGGTTTGTTTTTTCATCTCTTCTCTTTACTCGTTTCTTTTGCCTCAAGGTAAAATTATTAACACTTCCATTATTAACACTTCATTCATTTGACTCTCCCAAACAAGGTAAAATTATGTCTAACACTTACACTTCCCTTCCCTTCTGAGCCCTTACTAACACTTCCATTACTAACACTTCCAAACACTACATCCAAACAGGCCCTTATGCTTTTTGTTTGGATAGAGTGGAGTTTAAACGCACTTGGAGTTTTTATTAGAACCTAAGTTTTAATAAAAACTAAGTTAACCTAAGTGAACCCCTAGATCCATATGTAAAATAGTGTTTGGAAATATAGAAGGTGAACCTAGGTTAATGTAATAAATGTTGTTTGGATGAAGGTACTCTAGCTCATTTTAAGTTAAACGAGAACTTAACCTGCAAAACCCCCCGATTCAGAGGTTCTTCAATTTATGGCATGTTTGTTTAGGGGTTAACCTAGGTTATTAAAGGTTCAATTTCTAGTTAAATCTGTTTGTTTGTATTTTTGCAACAAGAACCTAGGTTAGGTGTTAACCTCACTTAACTCCCGAGAACATGGAAGAACATTAAATTGAAGAACCTCCGAATCAGGGGGTTTTGGAGGTTAAGTTCCCGTTTAACATAAAATGAGCTAGAGTACCTTCATCCAAACAACATTTATTACACTAACCCATGTTCACCTTCTATATTTCTAAACACTATTTTACGTATGGACCTAGGTTCACTTAGGTTTACTTTATTGCACTAGGTTTACTTAACTTCACTCTATCCAAACAGAGCATTAAGGTTCTTCTAGGTTCTCAGGAGTTCAGTGAGGTTAACACATAACCTAGGTTCTTGTTACAAAAACACAAACAAATTGGGTTAACTAGAAATTGAATCTTCAATAACCTAGGTTAACCTCCAAACAAACAGATCATTATACTTCGTTCCTCCGTTGAAACTTTGTCAATCTTTTCTTTTTGGGAAGTCTCAAAAAAAAATTGTCACTTTGCTTTTTAATCAATTATTATGTGATTCCTGTTATTTTTCTCTTCTCTGCACAAATCTCAAACACACAATTTTTATTTTATTATTTTTCGTGTCGGTCAAACTTGACAAAGTTTTAAGGGAGGGAGATAGTATTCGTTATATCGTACTTATAATTATAATTATTGCTATAATTATAATTACTAGACAAAGTATTCGTGCGATGCACGGGGTATATCTAAAGTGAAATAATAACTTGTTTGAATTACATTCTACTATACTCCGTAAAGTGTAATGGCACGTATAGTAATGAGCAATTTTTTTAAATAAAAAAGGAAAAGGTAAAATTGTTTCTTGTATTATTTTCAATTCTTCACTTATGTCTTCTATGCTAAAAAGGTATTACATATCATTTGATTGGTTTTTTTACCTGTCCTAACATATTTTTTATAATACAAAACTTTAAAAATGCGTTAAAATGTGAAGAATTATAAATAAAAGTTGTGCATAATTTAAGAATGTCAAAGTCTATATTTTTCTATTTTTTGAACCATTTGTATATTCTTCATCTTTTTTACAGTTGTTTCAAATTAATTTATTTTTTACACTTTCACTTTATTTTTTGTCTGTTTTCTATTTTTATTTTTTATAATAAATTGTAAAAATTATCTATCCATTTTTTAACTAATACATTTTTTATATCATTATTATTACATTACTTTTTAATTTTATATTAATGTTTATAAGAATAATCGATTGTTCATTAAATTAAATTTATGCTATAGAAGGTTAAAATGACTTGATGGACGATGTTTTTACAGTAAACATGCTTATATGATACTTTTTTAGTATATGAACTTAAGCGATGTATTGAAAATAATAGAAGAGTTTATTTTAATCTTTTCCCTTTTTATTTTAAAAGAATTCTCATTACGTACTATTAAGTTTCATGCAATGTTTTGACATTTTCTTGTACTACGTATGTTTTTGTTATTCTCATATATAGAACAATGGGTAGAAACAATTTTCTGTTTTTACATAATACCCCTCCATACCAAAATAATTATCCTACTTTCTTTTTCCGGGTTGAATCAATTTAATTATTCTATTTCATTTTTTCATACGAACTAATTATAGAAATCATATGAGTATTGAAAAATATACATTTGAATTAGTGAATTAAAATGACTACATGAGCTGAGGTAAGTAGATAATGTCCTAAATATTTTGTACTCCCTCCGTCCTATTGAATGATTCTCACTTTCCTTATGTTGGTGTCACATTTAAAAGTTTTCATTACATTTTAAGAAAAAATTTAATCTCTTTAATTATACTTTTACTCAAGTTTCTCTTTCCTACTCATTACATGTCAAGTCTCAAAATTTACTCTCCCCCAACTTAATTCTCTTTAATTACTTTCACTTTATGAGCCCATTTGGTGACACTGTTTTTCGGCTTATCAAGCTTATAAGTCAACTTTTTAATCAAACACGTAACTTTAATTTTGATTAGGCGCGCTAAATTGTGTAATAATATCTTCTATTATACAAAGGCAGGAGAAAAATGTGAACAGTATTCCCGCTCAAAAACATCACATCAATGGGTTGGGTTGGGTCTTCAACGGGTCAGGTCGGGTCTTCAAAGCTTGCTAACAGTTGTGTTGGTCAAAGTGGGAAGGCTAGGTCGGATCCAGCATCTATGGCTACAATTCTACAGCATTAAAAGTAAAGCCCAATACCCAATAAAGCATTGTGTGAGGCTCAATAAAAAGGATGTGTAGAGTGGGTTACACGAATCACAATGATAAAAGGAACAATTTTAATATTAAAAAAAGGCCTATGTCATTTCGAATTAATTGGTTTGTACTACAAAATCCTTTAATGTCATTCACATATCCGCATGGTTTAAATAAAAGGAGATGTGTAATCAAAGCTCTCATAAAAAGTTCAATGTATTGCTTGAGCTCATTTAATGTTTGTACTACAAAATCTTTAGTAAAGATTTAGGTTCAATGGACCATTGGTTAAAAACCAAATTGCTTTTGGAAGACACTCCATTCTGCCCCTATATATATATACACTCAATATGGGTTGCAAACCACATCACAAACAAGCACTTCACAAGGCAAAAATAAAACACTCTGCCTCATCTCTTTCCCTTTCGCCTTATGAACCTACAATAAGCAAGAATATCATTAGATGTACATTTACATATACATATATATTTAATATATATATATATAGAGTAGTCTTCCGGTCAGGTATACCTGACCGGAGCCCCGTCCGGCCTCCTCCATTTGAGGGTCTTCCCGATGATATTTTTTGCTCAAATTTTTTGTGTAGGTTCCTCATTAAGTCTAGTTCATCCATACCAAATTTCAGCCAAATATTCAACCGGGAAGGTCGTCAAATGATTTTTGCAAGTTAACTGGTCCGGAAAATACATATTCCGGACCAGTTAACTTGCAAAAATCATTTGACGACCTTCCCGATTGAATTTTTGGCTGAAATTTGGTATGGATGAACTAGACTTGATGAGGAACCTACACAAAAAATTTGAGCAAAAAATACCACCGGGAAGACCCCCAAATGGAGGAGGCCGGACGGGGGGAGTGGTCCGGCCTGGCCGGACCTGAATAGTTGTGTATATATATATATATATGTTCATGTGTGCATAAATATGTCTGTGTGTGTAGACATGTTCATGTGTGTGCGTGTGTGTGTATATGTGTGTGTGTGTGTGTGTGTGTGTGTGTGTGTGTGTGTGTGTGTGTGTGTGTGTGTGTGAGTGTGTGTGTGTGTGTGTGTGAGAGAGAGAGAGAGAGAGAGAGATAGTATATATATAGACATGCTCATGTGTGGGTGTGTGTTCATGTGTGTATAGATATATATATATATATATATATATATATGCATTTTGTGTATATGCCATATGTAGACATGTAGTTATTAGTGTCATACATGTATAGATTCATATTCACACAAACATATACTTCATAAATATGTATACGTTTAAGTAAAGTAAAGGGGCATTTGTAATGTGTTTCATTACTAGGCCACAAGGCCCACAACTAAGTAACATTAGCTACCAAACAAACACATTTTAGCATAAATAATGCGTTTAGCAAATGGCATCTTTAAACAGATTTTGAAAAAGAATTAGGCTTCATGTTTATTAAAAATTAGAGTGATTGTCTTTCAATACACTTGATAATAAGGCATTTAAGCATACACACATCAGAAATCAACAAGATTGAGGCTTAAATGCATTTGGGCTATGGAATTGAAGTTCTGATTTTTGTTTAGGGCTTTGATCTACCAACAAGATTGTAGGGCTTGAAGTAAGTGTATACATTTTGAAAATTAAAGATTACTTTTAATGACATTTTTAAAACTAAAATATAGACCATAGACTACACCATATATATGATAGATTACAATAATGATGAATATAGAGTTCAATTTGTATACATGTCAAAATGAGATAACAATATGCAAATGTCATTTGTGCCATGCATATGTACTCTACCAACCTAAAAATTGATTGTTTTTATGTCCATCAAATGCAGTAT